ACAGAGTATATTATTTTACTTTATGGATTTCACTTTATACTACAGAGTATATTATTTTACTTTATGGATTTCACTTTATACTATAGAGTATATTATTTTACCTTATGGATTGTACTTTACACTAAAGAGTATATCATTTTACCTTATGGATTGTACTTTACACTAAAGAGTATATCATTTTACCTTATGGATTGTACTTTACACTACAGAGTATATCATTTTACTTTATGGATTGTACTTTACACTAAAGAGTATATCATTTTACCTTATGGATTGTACTTTACACTACAGAGTATATCATTTTACTTTATGGATTTTACTTTACGCTACAGAGTATATTATTTTACTTTATGGATTGTACTTTACACTAGAGAGTATATCATTTTACTTTATGGATTGTACTTTACACTAAAGAGTATATCATTTTACTTTATGGATTGTACTTTACACTAAAGAGTATATCATTTTACTTTATGGATTGTACTTTACACTAAAGAGTATATCATTTTAACTTATGGATTGTACTTTACGCTACACAACGCATCGTTTTACTTTAATTTCATCTAGGTTCAAAAGACAGTACCCGTATCGAAGATGACATGTTCACTTGTCACGTATACAGCTCCAAGGAAAACTAGGATGATATACTTCTGATTGTCTCTCATTTTCTTTCCTATTTGACCTGAAATATAAAGAAACAACTCAATCGAACAAAATGGCTGTTTTTCTATTCATTCCTCCTTTCGTTCATTCGTTTATCTATATCACAAAAGCAATATCACGAAATTAAAAGCTTTTAAACCTAGATAAAATGATAATATTTTGTAGCTTAACTGAAATAATAATATGTATAGCTTTTAACCTTCCTTCACGTTCTGAAAGTAAACTACGAACTAGTTGCTAGTTATATTCGCTCGGAATTCATCGCAACTATTGAGTCAAGGAAATCCCCTACTTACACAAGTGTATGTAAAATAGGTAATAAATATTGGGTTTTACGTTCATAATAAGATATAAAGATATAAATGTAAATTAACCAATTAGGAAAATACCTGTTTGTATCAGTTCACTAGAACATCTACTATTTCACTGAATGTGAGACCGGCTTTCAAGAAGAACAAATACAGGACCTTGTTAGTGTGCTTCTGTACTGTTTCAGAGAATGAATTCGTACTGGGTGAAGTCATTCGACCCTGTAGGTGCTGTTTGTTGGCTCAATGCCAACTCTGGATCCGTTGTGTTTGTTTGTTAATTTCGCGCAAAGCTACACGAGGGCTATCTGCGCTAGCCGTCCCTAATTTAGCAGTGTAAGACTAGAGGGAAGGCAGCTAGTCATCATCACCCACCGCCAACTCTTGGGCTACTCTTTTACCAACGAATAGTAGGATTGACCGTTACATTATAACGCCCCCACGGCTGAAAGGGCGAGCATGTTTGGTGTGACGGGGATTCGAACCCGCGACCCGCAGATGGTGTTGCCGAACGCCCTAACCACCTGGCCATACCGGGCGGATTCGTTGTGAGTGTTGCAAAATGTGATTTGTTTGGTTCGAAGTTACACAAGATTAATAATATAATAGTTTTGTCTAGAAATTAGAAGTAAACATTTTAAAATGAGAATTAGTGCTTTTGTGAACACTATGCATCTCTGCCTTGAATGATGATCAAGACGAAAATCACTAATCTAATAATTAGGGACTCCGAAATATAAACCATTGAACTATCATTATCAATCTAAATTTATATTTTTATTCTTTGGTTAAATATATAAATTGAATATTACTTATTTAATTATTGAAAAAGTTATATAAACAAGTGAAAACTAATGCTATTTCAAAGTTGTCGCGGAATATGCCAGTGAGATTATTTCTTTCCTTCTGGGATCCTTGTGGCACAGTGGTATGTCTGCGGACTTACAACGCTTGAAACCGGGTTTTGATATCCGTGGTGGGAAGAGCACAGATAGCCCATTGTGTAGCTTTGTGTTTAACTTCGAACAAATCAAATGGCGAGCATATTTGGTGGTACGCGAACCTGCAAACCTCACTTTGCGAGTCAAGGGCCCTAATCACCTGGCCATGATAGGTTCAATTAAACGGTAAAAAAAAACAAGTATCTATTAGTGTTGTTACACTTCTGTTTATAATCAACTGTACTAAATTTAAAGTATTTATTTTAATTAGCTTAATATACCTACACATGTGCACCAATGATAACAACCAAATCACAATTTATGTACCTTGTATCAGTTGTTAGGTATTGAGAATTTGAAATAATCCAAAGCCGCGTTAAATAATTTAACTTTTAATGTTGAACTGTACCCTGGATTTAGTGTTTAGAAATATGCCGATATTTTATTTAATTTACGTTATTTGCCAACAAGATTGATTCACACCATTTTTGTTTTTGACACAAATACGTTTAAATATATATATATATATTTATATATATATATACAACAGTATAATTTACAATAGCAAC